TAGTTTGGCCGGTAGAAGCCGAAGTTCGGCTAGGTTATTTGACAACCCATTTCTTAGCCTGACGGATAGTTTCTGGAGCCTCCTCTTTGAGGGGCTTGGACTTTTCCTCGAGATTAACTCGAGTTGAATCATCAGGAGCCACTTGGGCTAAGGTCTCATACGAGACTTGACGACACTTAAGTGGCTTCGTGGGACTAGACTTACCCGAGGAAAGAAAATCCTCATATTTAGACTGGTTAAATTCGATGACCAGAGTCTCGACGTCCGTTCCCACTGTAATCTTGTCTGACTGCGCCACCACCATCTCTTCGGAGAGAATAGCTGCTCCCACTATGGTCGCCATCGTCTGTAGGGTCGAAAAATTTAAAGATTGATTGATTCTCTTGTTTTAAGAAAATTGGGTTCGATCACTTGATACAAAACCCTTACAATCAATCACGCTCTCTCGATTACAGAGGAAGAGAAGATTAATTCAGCTTCTCTTTTGTTTAAGGTGGGTTCTTGGTGGCGAAAAGATGCTTCCCTCGATGCTTGAGTCGAGATTGCTTCCCGTTGACGATCAGAACAAGATCACAAGAGCTTCTGACGTGGGTTAGAAAACAAGAATATGAACGTCGATTTCTCTTCTAGCGATAGCCAAAGATCTCCAAGTCCGAGTATCGAAAGCCAAAGTCCAGTCCCCTCTTAATAGCTGCTCGAGGCTATTTATAAGAGTTTGAGCACGTAACCGACGTGCTACAATCGTGGAGTCATGGATGTAACTGATATGCTAAAATTGTAGAGTCGTAGCGTAACTGACTCCTTGAATCTAGCACACGTGGCTGACTGGGTCTTCGTGGCCGTTACAGCCTGATTTAATGTGGGTTACGAACTTCACTGCGTTGGCGAACCTCATCCTTGATGTTGAGCCTCACTGCGTGGCGAGCCTCGTCTTTGATGTCGAGCCTCGCTGCGTGGCGAGCCTCATGAGCTTCTTTAATAATGAGCTTCATCTTCACTGACGAGCTTTAAATCTGATGAAAAGCTTTGTTTTCATTAACGAACTTCACCTCCGATGATAAACTTCAAACCTCGTATCCAATGACGAGCTTCGAACCTCGTTTCCAATGACGAGCTTCGTCTTTGATGTCAAGTCTCATTTCCAATGATGAGATTCGAACCTCGTTTCTAATGACGAGCTTCACATCTTGTTCTCCCATTTAAATGGATGAGTTAGTCATCATTAACTCTCCTTAAAGGGGTGAGTTATTGGTCATTAACCCTCATTTAATATAGCCCTTTGAAACTGTGTCTGACGAAGTTCGTTTACCAGACGAGGTTTGTCCGCCAGACGAGGTTCGTTTGCCAGACGAGGTTTGTCCGTCTGACGAGGTTCGTCCGCCTGACGAGGTTCGTTCATTTCGCTATATCTTTGGTGAGCTTAACTGCGGCTTCATCTTTGGCGAACTTCATCTTCAATGACAAATTTCGTTTCTAGGTGAACTTCGTCTTTTGATGGGTAAGGTGTTGTTTGTCCTATTGAACTGAGACAAACTTTATGAATTGAGGCTGAGGTTCGTCGTTGTGACAACCCTCGTCGTACTTGTAGTGAGGTTCGATCCTCTTTCGTTTCTTGGCACTTTTTAGTGTCTATAGACACATGAGGTGATACTAGCCGACACGAGAGATCCTGAATTCCCAGACAAGGCGACATTCTAACCAGTCAAAACAAGCCGACACTCCTGAGTCGACATGAAAGGCGGTGTCGGTCGACCCTGTTATTAAGGATGACCTTATTTAGGGCACTCGACCACTCACTGGACATTTCTCAGAAATAACTTAAGGGACGTTTCCTTCTGTCGACTAAGTTGAGGACTCGACTCTGGTCTCAAGCCTCTCTCCCAGAGCAAATGTCGACATCCTAGTCCACCTCGAACAAACCTTATACAGATTTTGGCTTGATAAGTCTCCACGACTTGTCAGCTCAATCACTTCCCACAAAAAACGGAGACATCATCTCCAGAGTTAAAGTGACTTCCCCTCCAGTTGCCAACCGACATCTGTAAAGCGGGGGACGACTCAGAATGCCCACGTGCCTTCTACCACGCTCACAAATCACTTTCCGAATATCGCGGAGACGCCATCTCCCATGCTGAGATGACTTCCCTTCCAGTCGCCAGTCGACACCGGTAAAGCGAGTGATGACTCACCTTTCAGCTCACACTTTGTCACCACCATTCTGTATGGTCGAAATAACCAGTCTGCCATGGACACCCGCTCTATAGATGGAGGCTATAGACCGCCAAAAAGGAAAATCTAACCTAATCTAAATCTTCCTCCTGATCTAATCTAAGAGATGATCATCTCTAATTCACATAGCATAATAACACCTAGTTCTAAACTCCACTCAAGCTCACGTTTATCAACTGACTTGATCGTCGGAGGAATCACGGGGGAACCGGTCCCCTCCCTCTCACGAGTTCTTTCTGTCTGTGCAGCACGGACTTCAGACCCATGTTTAAGAACCAAGCATAAAGTCGAAGAAGGAAGCGGGCCCTCCATCATCTTTCATCACCCCGCAACAATCCTCTTCTGAATTAATAATCTGTTTGATATCGAGCATCAACAATTAGAAAAAAGATTAGCACTGAACTAGAATATCACTAAATGCTAGGAAATTCAAAAATAAAATTATAGTTAACAAATAAAACTACACGCTACATACATCCAGTAAATTTTGATTTGGGATTTCCTTAAATTTTACATTAATAATAATCAATATTTTGGAGAATGCCTTGGATGTCAATTCCAAACCTACCATTATTATACTTTGTGTTAGCGATTATAGTAGCAGAAGGCTTTATAACTGCAAACAAGCTAGTTTTAAGCTGGCAGTACCTCAAAGTATAATATAACTATGATATATTAGAAAACAAAATCAACTTAGCTAAAACTCAGGCAGAAATGCCCTTCAAGTATGACTCAATAATATTTTCCTCTTTAAATCTAAGACCTTATGTATGATGATGGGAATCATTTTAATTAATCGGAGCAATCTATATTTTCAGAGTCCTAGAAGTGAAACCCCCTTAATTGTGGAAGCTTTTTACTCCTCTTTTTGTTGGTGAGGCAAGAAAGCAAGGAATAAACTTTCTGAAAGACTACTATACTATGCTTTCTCTGCATGGTTGTATAAAGTAAAGTCTTGACTCATCTGTTTTGGATGCGCAAGTAGGAGCCAAGTTTGTCCCCTGTAAAGCGGCTTGTACTGCTCATGAGGATAAGAATATCTGTCAAACTTTTGAGAATAATTGAGAAACTTGAGAAGTGGGTAACAAGGGAAAGTAATGATAGCAACATTTGTAGCTCAAGTTACAACAAACCTCAGGCATCCAAGATTTTACAATATGCAATATTTCTTCTTTAACACCTTGTTCTTTTTTGTTGACATGCATGATTATGTGTAATTCAGCTCCTATTGAGGTTTGGAATCTTAACCACTTTAACTCAAGTAAGCTTAACATCCAAAACCATAATTCTTCGGTTTTATTCAGGTCAATCCGATAAATGATAGCGATTAGTAGGCAAGGGCAGATTGTCACACCTCAATCAAGAAACCCAGGCCACTGCTCTTGAAACTGTCACGAAGATGATTAAATATGAAGCTCTCACAAAACTCTTCAATTTTCTAGCTGTAATTAAGGCTTGAGGTCATAGAAATTACTACGTATTAGAGGCCTTGCTAGCTCACATTGTATATATAATTATTAACTTGGAGCATGATTAGGTTCATATTAATTTTGCTGTTTGCTCCACTGCTCTTGTGTTTATATAAGTGGTTTAAAGAACAATCATGAAGTTGGAAGCAAATACGTCTGTTAAAAGCATCGTCACTGAGGAGGAAGTAAACACAAATGTTAAAGGAGCACTCGAAAATGCCTTCTTGAAAATACAAGAGGATCAGTGGAAAGTTATGCAGCTTGAGGTTTGGTCAACAATGTGGTGTTCACTAAAAAGAAAAAGAAGCTTGTAAAAGTAATAAACCAGTAAGGAAAAATCGAAGACTGTTGGTGGGTTAGGACAAGGTGAAAGATGAGCATAATCAAAAGTAAGCAAGAACAAATTTTGAAAAGTTCACTCCGCATAAAAGTTAATAACAGTCAGCATGAAGTATAAGATCAATTAACGATTAACCTGATTAAAAAAAGTCATGACCTTTTTGCTTTCTGTTTTGCTAGGAAACAAAAACATGTAATTTTGAGTTTTGTTGTCTGTATCTAAATCGAGTAGATGGTCTAAAGCGATGAAACAACAAAGATATGAACTTTTTACGCTTTTACTTCAAAAAAAAAAAAAAACAAATCAAATCAAAAAGGAAAACAGAGTATGGGAAACGTAATATGTTTGTTCAGTGCAAACTAATACCGACTAAAACATATGTAGTCCAGTCAATATTTACTTTGAAGTAAGTATCATAGGTTCGAATCTCAAGCTTAGTAGGTTCAATAACAAACCAAACTTTAGTTATTTCTTATGATCGGTTTATCATATCAATTTGGACCACGTTTCAAATCTATAACCTAACAAGGTTCGTTGATAAAATCCTACTCAAATTTATTTCTTAATAATCACAATTAGCTTTCCCATGGCCTTGGTTCCCAAATCTCTAATATCTAGATAAACCCCCCCCCCACCCCCCCCACCCCCCCCCCCCCCCAACAAAAAAGAAAAAGAAAAAAGAAGACACTAATTCAAGGTTTAACAGATCCGAGTTTCCTTCTTCACTCATCTCAATACCATCGCAACCCATGTGCAAATAAAACTTGACTCTGAATTGGCACAAGCATCCCAAGAAATTACACTAGAAGAATAAGCAATCCCCAAAAGCGATCTTCTAAAGAATCTAACCTCAATTAAGACCTTCTCAAACTCCAATAACAGCAATCACATAAGCATCTACTAGTACCCATGGTCATCCGTAAGAAGTCATTAGTGCCCATTAATCATCATCATCTCAAAAAATGGCTACAGCTCTTTACATAACCCTCCTGTTACTATCCCATACCATTAGCACAGCCCTCTCCCTAGAACTCCATTTCTATCGAAAATCATGCCCGAGAGCCGAACTCATAGTTAAGAGTGTACTCCAGAGGCATGTCAAAAAGGACCCATCAATACCTGCTGGCCTTCTTCGGCTCCATTTTCATGACTGTTTCATCAGAGTAAGCTTCTATCCACCTCCATATTTATTATTACGAACATAAAATTAAGCATTAAAATTAACCAAACATTTTGGTGTTTCAGGGTTGTGATGCTTCCGTTCTTCTCGACAGTACTGAAGAAAACATAGCAGAAAAAGAGGCACCTCCTAACTTGACACTACGAACATATGATGTGATTGACGATATAAAGGCTGAGCTAGAGAAGGAATGTAAAGGAATTGTATCGTGTGCTGATATACTAGCTATGGCAACTCGAGATGGGGTGGCATTTTCTGGAGGTGAAGAGTATGCTCTGCCGACAGGGAGGAGGGATGGCAAAATTTCAAGAATGTCGGAGGTTCATCTCCCTGGCCCTTCTTTCAGTGTTCAGGGTGCATTGGCTGCTTTCCAGTCCATCAATCTAGATTTAGAGGACCTCACTACATTATTGGGTAAGTGTTGTAACATTCTAATAGTAGTAGACTACTAGATACTTGAAACCTGAACAAACTTTTTTTTTTTTACACTTAAACAGGTTGCAACAGAAATTGATGAAACTTGAACTGCAACTTTAGTTTTCACTTTCTGTTTGCTTTATCCTATGCTGCAATAGGTGCGCAGAAAGGTCAAATTGAATGGTTTGGTTTTGTTAATGGGATCACTTTCACCAGGTTGTATTTAATGAAGGCATTACCCCCCGAGGTGTCAACTTAAGTAATATAATATTAATAGGATTGGATCATAAAAATGGCGAATAATATATAACTTCATTTGGCCTCAAAATTACCGAGGTTGATTCAGGACAGAGGTACCTTTCTAAAGTAGAGAAGGTAACTGCCAGCCACACATTAATTGTAACAAATTATAGACAAGATGGATACAAAACTTGGTGGCTTGCATAGATTAGCTTAAACACTGCATTAATATGGCACAGCTCTACTTAAGCTGTCTTATTAAACTTTTAAGTAGTATCATTATATACTTTGGAGAATGTGCATTTAGTTTCAATTTTAAGAATTGGCAGCTACATCTGTGCTATTCACTATTAATCTTAGATTCAATATAGGTCAAACTTCACTTAGGATCATGTGATATTCCTTGAATGCCAGATTTCTTTAATCATGGAAACGTGGGTGCGTTTACAAAGGCTTTTACTACCGACAAGTAAGTTTTGATGATGGAATAGTGTTCCTTCAGGGCCTATTGCAACTTCTAAGGTACCAGGATAGATCCATATTGCCCAAACTAAAGGGGTAATTTTCGACAGGATATACACCCTTCGGGATGAAAAAAGTGACTTTTGGACTATTTCTCCATAAATCAATCCGTAGTTAAGTTTAATAATGAAAGTTAAGTTAGCAATAAACGCGACAGGCCCTAGAAGGTATTTAGTATGATAGCAAAATTCATGTTAAGCAATGCTTCACAGCCCTAAAATTCTAGCTGTTAGAATTAATATAAAACTATAATTCTTAATCCTCACCATAACTTCGGAGTTTTGGTGTAATGATTAGAGGAATTAAATTTAAGATGGTATCAGAGCAACCTAGGTTCAAATCCTACCGGCCACGAATTAAATGCGGATTTTCTAAAAATTGACACCGCTACGTGAGTCCAGGTTTCAACCCATATAAAGCTCGACCAGCGGGGGCATGTTAGAATTAATATAAAACTATAATTCTTGATCCTCACCATAACTTCGGAATTTTAGTGTAATGATTAGAGGAACTAAATTTAAGACTAACTATTACCAAAATTATCATTTATTTGTATTGACCACATCATTAATCAACAACCATACTCCTACCAAAATTTAAGAACATGTTCAACTATTTACCCGAACCTTGTGCTTTCCTCCTCTCTTCTCCAGGTGCTCATAGCATTGGTTTCTGTCACTGTGGCTTCTTCATCAGCAGGCTCTACAACTTTCGCAATAGCGGCTTACCTGATCCTCGTATTGCTCCTCGTGTGCTAAAAACTCTGAGGCATAAATGCCCCCCACAACTTCAACAACTCAATGATGTAAGCAAAGACCCAAGAATATTCATGAATCAAGCTACAGAAAGACCATTCACTCTAAACTCCTCGTTCTATCATGGCGTGCTCAATGGACAAGCAACTTTGCACCTGGACCAGGACCTTGCCTTCACTGATGTCACAAATAGATTAGCAGTGGAGTATCTTCAGAGTCCAGAATTATTCAGGAGGCAATTTTCCAACTCCATGATCAAATTGGGAATGGTCGGTGTGTTATCTGGACAACAGGGTGAGGTCAGATTGAATTGTAGAAGAGTGAATGGTGACCCAACAGACAACCTGAGAACCTAACTGATTTCAACTATTTGACTGCAGTATCAAAAGATAGGAGTCAAAGATTCAACCTCCCTCAAGTTACCAATATAAATATACAAATATTCCTAGACCTCCAATGTAACATTTCAACGAAATAAACATTTCTATCATTTAGAAGAAGAGCAAAACAGAGCAAAACAATGTGATTGTTCAAGAACTGTAATAAATTTCATTGACTTTGGATGACGCTTTAAAGGATACTTCCTTATGAGATGCTCGCTTAGAGACTAGTTTAAGTACTCCAGGGTGGACCTGGAGATAATTAGTTCCTGAATAAGAAATCCTTTGCCAGATATGAATAGCAGTTTCATGAGCTGCAATAAAATTGTTGTTTTAGGCTTTTTCCACCAACTCATAACCTGTGTATTAATGATTATTGTTGGGAAATAACGGGGGCTACGCTAAACCCCTAAAACAGCAAGAAAACACAGTAGAGAAAAATACACTAAGATTTAACGAGGTCCGGCAAACTTTCCTACGTTCTCGGGAGCCACAAAATTAATTTCTTATTAATCAAAGAAATTACAATGCAAGAGCAGATCTCAAACTTGAGATCTCTCAATAAATGCAAATTGTTACTATAGCTACAGTGGACAATTCCTCTTTAATTCCCCTCCTTAAATCCCCTCTTCTTTAAATTCCCCCTTCTTAATTCCTCCCTCAAACATCAAAGTGAGCTGGAGAAAAAGAGCAGAGAAGAAGAGGAGGGGGAGAGAGAGAGAGAGAGCGCTCTGGGTTCCCTTTTATAAGGGAACCCTAGCGACAGCTTGGTGACAGGCCTGTCGCCAGTCTGTCTCGACCTCGTCTGAGTGGAACTCGTCTGCTCCGAACTCGCTTGCGTTGACCCCAAGCTCGCCTGACTGGATCTCGCCCGTCTCGAGCTCGCCTTGAGCGACCTCGCCTGACAGAAGCTCGCCCGCAATCGCCTGCATCTCGCCCACTTGCCGTCAACCACGCCTGAAGCTTGCCTCGAGCTCGCCGTCGATCTCGCCTGAAGCTTGCCTCAAGCTTGCCGTTGACCTCGCCTGAAGCTCTCCTCAAGCTCACCTGAAGTCGCCACGAGCTCTCCTGATGGTTTGTGTCTACACCCGACACTAACAATCTCCCACTTGGAGACCAAACCATCGCAGACTATCTCAAGAAGAATCTTCTCCTGTGTGGCTCCGCCTTCATCACTTATGTATGAAGACCAACTGAATTTGCACATAACTCCAGTTTCTGAATGATCATCGTATTTGTTAACATATCTGTTGGATTCTTGCTTCCTGGAATCTTATCTAATTTTAACACGTCATCTTCCAACAGGGATCTGATGAAGTGGTACCGAAACCCAATGTGCTTCGTTCTAGAATAAAATGTGGAATTCTTCGCCAAGTGTATCGCACTCTGACTATCACTGTGCAAAACATTCTTCTCCTGTTTGAATCACAGCTCTGTTAACAAACCCTGAAACTATATCATTTCTTTACTAGCTTCAGTCACTGCTACATACTCAATCTATATAGTGGATAGAGTGAATCTTCTGTATCTGTGACATCCAACTAACAGTTGTAGTTCCGATAGTGAATACATAGCCGATGGTGCTTCTTCGGTGATCAACTTCACCTCCAAAGTTTGCATCTACGTACCATTGTACTTCCACCTCTCCCTTACACAAGTGCAAACATTTTTGTGTGGTGCCTAGTAGATACCTCAGAATCCATTTAACCGATTCCCAATGAGCTTTTCCTAGATTCGACATAAAACGACGGACACTGACGGACACTCTCACTGCATGGCCAATGTCTGGTCTGGTACAGACCATTGCGTACATCAAACTTCTGATAGCTGAGACGTAAGGAACCTTAGCCATACTCTCTTTCTCTTCATCCATCTACTCGGCTGAGACGTAAGGAACTTTAGTCATACTCTCTTTCTCTTCATCCATCTGAGGAGAGTGATCTTTTGATAGGCGAAAATAGCTGGCCAAGGGTGTGCTGACTGGCTTGGCGTCGCCCATGTTGAATTTCTGTAAAACACGGTTGATGTACTCTGTCTGAGATAACTACAAGAGACCTCTTCTTATCTCTCGTGATTTGCATTCCAATGATCTTCTTTGCTAGACCCAAGTCTTTCATATCAAACTCCTTTGACAACGGCTACTTTAAACTCCTGATATCCTTCATATCTGCACCTGCAACCAACATATCATTAACATACAACAGTAAGATGATATAACTGGACTGATATCTTTTAAAGTAGCAATAGTAATCGACGTTGTACTTCTGAAAATCTTCCTTGTGCATGAAACCGTTAAACTTCCTGTACCACTGCCTTGGGGCTTGTTTCAGGCCATACAAGCTCATTTTTAGTCTACACACTAGGTTCTTCTTCTTTTCTTCTGAGAAACCTTCTGGCTGATGCATGTATATCTCCTCTTCTAGATCTCCATGAAGAAACATCATCTTCACATCCAACTGCTCAAGATAAAGATCTTCAATAGCTATAATATTCATCATTGTCCTGATAGTATTGAGCTTCACAACGGGAGCAAAAATATCGTTGTAGTCAATTTCTGCCTTCTGCTGGAATCCTTTGATAACTAGTCGGACTTTATATCTTCTGAAGCCATCCTGCTCCTCTTTTACCCGGTACACCCATTTGTTGTGGAGTGCATTCTTACTCGTGGGCAACTCAGCTAGTTCTCACGTCTGGTTTGAGATGAGAGATTTTATCTCATCTTTCATGGCAAGCTCCTATTTAATCGCATCTCTACTCTGACAAGCTTCATCATAGCTTTCAGGCTCTCCTCCATCTTTCAACAACAGAAAGTTCATATATCTCCTATTGGGCACAGGAGGCCGAGAAGATCTTTTCAATATTAGAGTTGGTGCGTCGGGCTTTTGCGCACCGTTTTCTCCAACATGCTCTTCTGGCTGAGGACATGTTGTATTTGGTTCTTTCAAGAGGTCACCTGGGACATCATCTGTATTTACAAATGTTAACTCGCTCTCCTCTGAGTCAAAGACATATGTCTTGTGTATGTCCTTGTACATCACCTTCTCTTGAATATCACATCTCTGCTGCAGATCACTTTCTTATTTTCGTTGTCCCAAACGTGGTAGCTGAACTCATCTTCACTATAGCCGATGAAAGTGTATTTCTTGGACTTAGGATCAAGCTTATTCCTTCCTTGATTACTAATATGCATATAAGCTACACAACCTAAAACTTTGAGATATGAGAGTTTTACCTCCTTTCCGTACCATACCTCCTTTGGTATTATGTGCTCCAATGGAACCAATGGACCTCAGTTGATCAAGTAAGCTGCTGTGTTGACTGTTTTTGCTCAGAACTGTTTCGGTAGGCCTGACTGTATCTGAATGCTTCTGGCTCTCTCTGTCAACATTTTATTCATGCGCTCAGCCACACCATTGTGCTGAGGCGTACCGAGCACAGTTCTCTCCATTCTAATTGTTAGGAATCTTGACCCCAAGATTAGTTTATTTTGATGATAACAAATATTATATGTTGTGTGTATTATGTGCTAACATTTGTTTTGCAGTATCAGAGCTATATCAACAATTATATTCAAAGAGATACTCAAGACATAGATGAGTTCAAGGCAAAATGAAGCAAAGAAGAAGATATACTTTATTATCAAAATGTAATTTTATATTTTTTTGCTTAGAAATTTGTACAAGCCTTGATCACTCACACACATGCACACACATAGTGTTAGAACATACTAACACATGCTTAGTGTATTGGTTAACAATAGAAATCCCCTATGTTAGCCATTAGAGTTTATAGATATTGAGTGAGTCTTAAAATATTTCATTTACACCCCTTAGAAATTAGAATCTGGAAAAACTCAAAAGATCAAAGTTGTAGGTCTCTTTAAGATCTTTCTAACAAATCTTAAATCACTTTATTCCGATATCGGATGAGAAAATTACAGCCAAAATATTGAAAAGAAAATTCCAGAATCTGTGAGTTTACAGTGTAGTCGACTACTATGCCTTGTAGTCGACTACTGAGCAATTTTCTGACTTCACAGAGTTTGTTTAGACTCAGTGTAGTCGACTACTATGACTTGTAGTCGATTACAGATGCAGTTTTTTTCAGATTTCAGGTTTTAAATAAGTGTCTGTTTATAGCCGTTTTGTATACGTTTTTAGGGGTTAAAAACTTGTCTTTTCAAGGGCTATAAATAGGTTATAAGTTCAGAAATTTGCACAACTTATTCATACACATAAGATCAAACAATTGTGCATATTCACTCTCTAGTTTTCCAAGATTTCATGCTAAGTGTTTAGAAAAAGAGAGTTTCTGATATTGCCTTGGTTTCAATCATTCTTAGAGATTGTATAGGCAATATTCAGAGAGTTAAAAGAATTCTAAGCCACTGCAGCACTTCACTACACATTCAAGGCTTATAGGATCAATTGTGTTCTTGCTTCAAAAAGGATTTCTCTCGGGTTTGAGAGGGTTGATCTCTTGGTTTAGAGATTGGGTGGCAATTGGCATGGTCTTGTCAATTGATGTTGCAATTTACAGGGACTTGTAAATTGGACAGGTTTGCTTTTGATTTTGTAAGTTTATTCAAAATCATAGTGGAAACTCTCAAGCGGAATTTGCTTGGGGACTGGATGTACACCGGGTTGGTGGAACCAGTATAAAACTTTGTGTTTGTGATTGTGAATTTCTGAGATTACCATTTTTCTTTGCAATTTATAATCTACTTTGCATATATTTTAAAAGAACACTATTCACCCCTCTTCTAGTGTTCTAGTGTATCTATTTCAGATCCTACATTTGGTATCAGAGCAAGGTGAAAGATGGCATCAACAAATACATCACAATTCAAAGAGGGATATTCCACACAGCGACCACCTCTATTCGATGGCACGAACTATAACTATTGGAAGTGCCGGATGAAGATCTACCTCCAATCTCTTGGCTACGACCTTTGGAACGTTGTAGAGACCGAATTCACAAAGATGGACTACTTCTCAAAGAAATAATGCAAATTTGGATTCAAAAGCAATGAATGCATTATTTTGTGCACTTGACAAGAATGAGTTCAATAGGGTGTCAACGGCCACATCTGCATACGATATTTGGCATACACTTGAGGTAACTCATGAAGGTACAAATAAAGTTAAAGAATCT